TGTTCTTTTGGCACAACTGGGCGACGCCACTCCTCCCACCACTGTTATTTCTTTTTAGTTTGGCTCTTAAATAAAGACATTGCCAAACTCCTGAAGTGACTGTGTTTCAATGATTGTTTCACATATCCCTGTTATGACTGGTGTGGGTCCTTAACTGGTCATAACATTGGTACTCTGTAGGGGTGCCCTGAAGGAAGGAGCTCATGTTGGAGAGTAGAGCACATGAGAAGGGTCTGAGGTGATTTTTTTCCCGCTTAGATTCAGACCCGTCTGACCTCTTAGATTCAAATGTCTGAAGGGTCTGGCTTTCACATGCAGTTATGGTCACAAAAAACGAAAATAAACCTCCAGGCCAATTGTGTTCTGCTTTTTCTAGGGTTATCTCGGCACACGTAGGCCTAGGGTGCAGGCTCCTCTCTGTAGGTTCATACTATTCCCTATTGCTAAATTCCCTAAGGACTTGAGAATTTAGCGATAACGTAATTTAATGTATTAGTTTCTTCTTCCGAATGTGCCTCTCCCGGCCTTTATGATGCGTTAGCACTGTCCTACCGCTGAGGTGGTAGTGTCCCCTTAAAGGCACACCGTGTAACTCTTGGCCACTAGGGGCGCTAGACCTGCAACTTTCACGTTTAGCGCCACAAGCAACTCAGCACTGTCGCAAAAGTCAACAAACAGTCAGCCGGTGTCTTTTGAGTGTGTATTCAGACAGCATGCACTGGTGTGTGTGTTCAAACTGTAGAGACATGCCTACAGATATTGAGAGACTCTGCTGTGGTCAGCCTCCAGACCGCTGCATTAGTAATCTACCACACATGGACTTCTATATCCTGGATGAGGGAGTTCTGCGTCTAGCTCGTGCTGCGTGGAATGACATCTTTGCAGTCGATGACATCCAGGAACCAGGTGAACAGCAGCGCTCATACAGACATGCAGCTTACAGCACGATCCCTTTCGCGTTTCCTCTTTTTAGCCTCCTCCGAAGGTTTAAAATTTTTCCTTGCCTCAGCCATGACCAGGAGTCGAGCAGGTGAAAAATGAGTAGCAAAAGCCTTAGCTCCATGAGTATATCAGCGCCTGTAGCCGTAAAGCAAGTCTTTCTTCCAAGTCACGTGACCTGGTGGCAGACGGTCCGTCTGCTCGAAACTTACATGGGCGGTATTTCAAGAGGGCAGCCCCGCTCGGAGCATTGCAAGTGTCAAGCGCTGTATATTGGCCCAAGTATTCATATAAAATAACTCATATGTGTCAACTCTTTAGGTCACAAAGTCCGCGGTGTGCCTTTAAGTGTCAAAGAGCCACAGCCCAAGGACAGAAGTGTGAAGGAACCAATCACAGACAGCAGTTTAGAGGAGCGGAGGGTCAGGGGGAGACAGGGACCTCCACCATGTGCCAAATGTATCCAACTTCACTCGCTTTATTACACAACACAGAGGATGTTTGACAAATGGCCGATAATCTCAAGTTTAGACATGTTTACAGTCTTGTGCACAAGTGGCGTGTTTGGATCTCCTGCACACCCTGTCCAGGACAAATGGAAACATGTTCATTCATTTGAACAATGCAGCAATTATAGCATCAATATTGGAAGACAAATAATCAACAAGCAAGCCCCATTTCTACTAGCTCTTCTCCTCCTTGCTCTGCTCTATTCGGCTCTACCGTACTCCGACTGGGAGCATTTCCACCGGCCCTGTTCAACCAGCACCAGGTCCTTCTTTAGTCCCTTTTGGCCCTGGTTCTATCCGGGCTAGGCTGGTACTAACGTGTTCTATAACTGACAGTGATTGGACGGAGTGCTGCTGGAAGTCATAGTTAGCAAGGAATTTCCCTGGATACTGATTTGTTACAGGTAGGTGGCTAGGATATAATACCAGATACTTAAAGTTATGTAGGATGATTTTCCATAATTTTAGGAATGAACCACACTCCTCAGAGGGAAAGCCTTTTTAAAAGGTGTCTCACCTGTCACCAGAATGATTGACAATTAGGAGGACCAATAGTTTAGATGATCCACCCGGAAGAAGAAAATCCTCCCATAATCAGTGTTGTGCCAGTTCACAGCTTTTCTGAACTAGTTCAAGTTCAGTTCATACATGCTCAAAGTGAACAGTTCACGTTCAAAGTTCACATTTTTAATTCTGAACTAGTTCAAAGTTCAGTTCATTTTACTTTTTTCGTGAGATACTTAAATACATATGTTTTTCACATATACGAGCTATATATATATATATATATATATATATAATCTCCTGTACATTTTTTCACGTATATTTTTCACATATACGAGCTATATATATATATATATATATACAGTATATATATATAATCTCCTGTACACCCACAGGAGGAGAGCCTTTTGACTACAAAACAGACAAGATTTACAAGGTTTCAATGGGAGCAAAACGGAGTTGCCCCATCTCTGATCATAAACTACAAACAGTAATGCGCTGCAGTGCGTGTGCCTATACTTTATGTCAAATGTAAACGGTGTAAACTTTGTCGCTAACTCACCTTGTGTTTTCATCACGACTTGGGCACATGTGAAAAGCACCAGCTCACAGCGCCGCACCACAACACGGAGTCGGGGTGCGTTCACAGACGCTGGAAACCGTAGGAATTTTTTGATTTCAGCGGAAAAAGTGCGAGAATACAGGAGGGAGGAACTTTCTCTCGTTGCGTTTCAAAAGAGAAAACAGATTCCAACGTTCATAGTGATGTCTGCCGTTCATGACACATAAAATGAACTAATTCACGTTCAAGTTCTTTTTTTAAAAATGTGTTGCGTTCAGTTCAACGTTCGCGAAAAAATGAGGGTGTTCAATGAACGCGTTCTTTTGAACTCGTTCACGCACAACACTGCCCATAATGGAAATGCAACCTGGTAGAGTAGAGCCAAGTAGGGCTCGTGGAAACAGGCCTAAAGTTGCAGTTCAGACACTAATGCCGCGTTCAGACCGGATCATGCATTGCGTCGGCTTTCAATGCAAAGTCAATGGGGACGCACGTTCGAGCGTCAAAACGCACGAGCGTCTCGGAATGCACGCACCGACTGCTCAGTAGAGACGCACGGACTGCGCAGGAAAGCAGAAAATTGACGCACGCAGGAGATGAATTTTGCTGAACGTTTCCTAGGGAACGCTCGTGCAGCGACCAATCAGAGAGCCGCAAAGTGGTCACGGGGACAGAAGCGGTCTGAGCGAGCAGACTGAACATACTCGTAAACAGCCAAAACAGGAGCTACATCAGGACTAAACCAGGGTTGACAATGGGGGACATAGTGCTTGTGAACATGTGAGTTTTCATGCTCCCGTGACTTTATGCAACTGCTTCGAGTGTGTTCACCGATGCGGAAGGGCTGTTTAATAATAAAATAAACTGCGCACCTTTGTGAACACATACTACTGTTATATAAAGTCCGTGGAAGATCTCTGAACACAGACCTTTTACACAAGAAGCCGCTAGCTAAACTCTGTTAGCATCAAAGCCCGAAGGCTACTTCCGCCACTTCCGGCATGCGCCAGGACTTCTGGTCTGAAGACCCCTGCGTCTGAAAACTAGAGAATGTGTGTTTCGGCGTTGGCGGTCTAAAAGCACCATAATGCTAGTCAGATTTGAGGCATTTTATCAGATCAACGCTTTCAACTGTGGGCCAAAATAATTAAACGCTCATCCATCTTAACGTTTGTTTGACTATTGTATATAGTTTGTTTGTGAAAATGAAAGAGGCATTGTTGCAGATTAGCAGCCTTACTTTCCTCAGTCTTCCCCAGAGCAACTGTGGCTAAAGTCATAGTTTACCACCGCAGATGAAGGCGTCAGCACAGACCGACATGTCTGGACAAGTCCACACCGGACCCGGTTGTGGAGCAGCTGAGGGTAACCATATCAACCACCGGACTCATGTCGCCTTAATGTGTCCATAAAACACATCTGACTGGGTCTTGTTCTGGAGGAGGGACTCAACAAGCAAATGTTGTGGCGTCTTATCTCCATCATTGAAGAACGTTTCAATGAATGTCGGAGCCATCTCTCCAGGCACTGCGACTCAATTAAATTCAGTTTAATTTATTCTTGTACAGCCCTAAATCACAATTGTAGTTATCTCAGAAGAGTTTAAATAACCTTTGAATTCAGAGAATTCAAACGGTTCATACACAAAAAATGGCATGATAAAAAACACCTAGAGACATTGGTCCATATATGACCAATATTCATAAATGTTGATAATAAAATGTATTAAAGCCGCAAGCGGCGATGAAAGCCCTCGCCACTCTTGCGACCGCCTCCCAGACACTAGCTCCATAAGCATCATAATAAAAAAAAAATTCCCCAAAAGCTCAGAAAATTATAAATTTCCAGGGGACAGTGTAGAGTCTGTGTAGATGAAATATTTTGCCAAACCATTTTCAATAGAACCCTCTAATGGAATTATTTCGGCAAAAAAAAAAAAAAAAATTAAACCAATGAATAACGTTATTACGTATTGGCTCGGGCTAATAATATGAAACAGGCCAATAACTATAGCCTGTATTGCGGGGCAAACGATCCTCCTGCTGTATGATCTTCCTTCACTAAAGTACCACTGGTGAAAGAGATCAGGGACATAAGGGAAAAGTCACAATGATTGTCCGCTCTGTAAAAATAGCTACCTTTGGTTTGTCGTAGTTTTAAAATCCTTGGGAGTATCTGTTTCTGCAAGACACTATGATCAAATCAGTCAAATCAATCAATCCATTCATTGGACCATTCATTCCATCTACATCGCAAATTCATTTTCAAAATGTTTGGTTGGAACATGTACATGCATGTATGTTGGTGGTCTGTGATTGTTTCTACCCCTTTATTGAATATTTAACACCACACTCAAATGGCTTTTCTGAGGCGTCAATGTTGTGCAGTGTATAACCACCATTTGTAAGCAAGAATGTAGCAACCACAGAGGACCACCAGGACTGAGGGAGCGAGGAGCCCAGGGACCCCAGTGTTCAAGGCCTCTCATGCAGACACTGTCCCAAGACCTGCCTCAGTTTGACAACAGGCAGCTGCCGGTCCCGTCCCGCTTGTGTGTTCCCAGTAGGACGTCCGAGGGTGCACTGGTCATCAAACGGACGACGCAGTGGGTAAACAAAGCTACTGTGATCTGCACGGGGTCTGGGGGACTCCTGCTGGGACGTCTGGAGTGGGGCAGAGAGAGGGGGGATCGAGAGGACTTAGCCACAAGTGCCCAGAACATACAAAGGGTAAGTGAGAGTCTGATTGAGATTACAGCATTCAGGCACGCGCACATACCCTCAGACATGTTGGGTTTCCTTCCTTATATTGACGTACTTTCATATTATATATGAATATGATATATGAATATGATATGATATATTATATAGACTTTTGGACTGCTTCACAGTTATGGCATTCTAGCGTTCTAGCATATACTACCAGACTCAGATTAGCAATAGCTCTTTCACGGTACGTCACAGTGAACGGCATCTCTACACAGTACTGACATAGCAGCATATAAACAGTATAGATATTTATTTTACATTTGTGCCAAAATGCTGAGTTATCCAAGTATCACATAATATTGAGACACGGACAGTGACTTCTCTTAAGTGTAGGAGGGTTACAATTTATCAAACGTTTATTATTCCCTAAAACAGCTTGGGTATGATTGCAGGGAAAGTCATTAAACACTGAGGGTACAAGGGAATGTGTACTATGACTTAAATAAATTCCTTGCAAAAAGAATATCACAGAATAATATTCAGAATAAACACTGATTACAGATCCAAGTTTTTGATTCTGTAAAACCTATCACCACACACTTTATACACAACCAGAATTCACGACTGACGAAGTGCATAGATATCAAACCTGTTTGTTGTAGGTCTGAGCGCTGCTGCAGCTTTCAAAAGCCGTGCAGATGTAAAATACAACTGCAGAGGACATAGTAATGAATAGTAGTCATTATCACTATCACTGCGGTGCACACAAGCCACAAAAGATTTCTTCTGATTTTAAATAAAGCTATCTGCCGCTTATGCTAGCAGTTATGTATGATGGTGATGCTGCTGGAGTTTACACGCGGCACATGAGAAGAAATGTATACAAAAAACAGCAAGGTCACGAAAGCCAAACTACGACATAGCGAGAGACCATTATAGTGGAAAGTAGAAATATTACATTCGTTCCCTTCAAAAGTTTCCTCAACCATTTGGTGTATCACCTTTTGAGTCAATCTACCTAACTTGGGGCATCTCACTTGGTTTTCGGCACTTTTACCATCAAACTGCATCTCAATCAATCTAAGAAAAAAAAATTTAAAAAAAATTGCTTTCTTCAAGGAGTGAATATTAAAGGGTTAATGTTCACTCCTTGAAAAACACAGTGCCATTATTTTCTGTTCAGGTATATTTCAGTTACAAGTAGATATAGTGACTCAAAAAGTGATCCGCCAAATGGTTGCGGAATCCACCAAAGGGTTAAATGATTAAAAGTAAATTTTTTAATCAACAGAGTTCAGTGGGAGATTACCGACAAGAGCAACTCCACCGACTGGAACCAATGCTTCACGATAACATTGCAACATTGTTTTCATCCGAACAGTGAACGTGTCCTCGCATCCTTGCCGACTTACAGCTAATCTTTTACACGCTGGAAGAATGTCCTCACTCACGGAAACCCAACCTGCCCCTGATCCTTCCCAGCGTCGCACTTCCTGCCTGTGCGGCCCTTCACTGTGACAAAAGCGTATAGAGAAGAATGTGGCTGGGTCTGTGCGTCCCCTGGCCCTGCGTACATGTAACTGTAGCACCGGTCATAAACGCCAAGGGCCCGAGCCGCACACAGGAGGCCCCTGAAGCGAGTCTGAGGGATTGGGTTTCGGCATGTGCGCGCTGTGATACATTTTACATCCTGGGCTTTGGCAGTCCAGACACACTGCTCCAAGTTAGTGGTGAAGAAAGAGCAGCATTTGAGAATTATAGACATTGGGGAAATATCGGACATCAATCAATCAATCTAGGGTGAATAGAGAGCTATGGCTTACGCAAGTGGACAAACGCACGGCAAAAAATACACAAGTAATCCAAGGACTCCAATTGTAAATCTGTGTTATGTCTCTAATATGTTCTGATTGGCTCTTGATGTAACACGTATGTCTTTCGATGTGTGGCGTACAGTATGTCTGCAAAAACATTGACCATATAGAGCTTGTTCTAACTCTGTTCCGTGAGATAAAAAACTGAAATAAACTGAGAATAAACTTCCAGGTTGCTCCAGTGCGTAAATATCCCGTCTGTGAGGTTGATTTTCCACAAATCAATTTATTTGTTTAGCACAACTTGTGTACACGGTGATTCAAAGTGCATCACAAGAGCACTTTAAAAACACAGCTCAAAAACTAAAAAAGCACTAAAGATACATCAATACACAATAATTCAATATTAATTAAGAGCAGCATGAAAATACTGGGCTTAACTCTTGTTGAAATGCCGGTTCAAAAAGAGATACATTTAACTAAACTATCAAACTAAAATGTGGTCGTCATAACGGTCTTCCTGAAAATTTGAGACAGGCTGTGTTTAATGTACTGTGATGAGAAATATCTTAAATATCTTTTTTTGCTTTTTTCTCCGGTCATTTGTCAACAAAACAATTATTTTTTGTTTTTTTGCATTTTTACAAACATATATTGAACATTTTACAGACCAAAAAGGTTTGGATTAAAGTTTTTCACCTATTTCACTACTTTCCCATATAGACCAAGTGCTGACATCCTCATAGTAGTGTTAGCCTCAATGTGGAAGAGGCTAATTCGAACATAAGCTAGCTGTAGCCAATTTGTACCACCGTAACAGCAACGTGAATAAAGGCCTCTGATTGGTCAATACTCATATGCCTCATACATGGATTTACAAAGACACTATCAACAAAATCCAAAGTCCAAAATGTGAGTGTGACACAAACCTTCTGCTAGAGGAGGTAACTTTTCAATATAAGGACTCTTCTGGCCCCTTCAAAAGCCATGTTCCAGCCTCTTGCTTCTGGCAAAAGATATTGTTTGTTGAGATGCAGGAACTGTCGCTTCTTTCCACAAGCTGTTATCAGTATAAAGAAGTCACTTTAATGACCTTGCATTTGTATTGAAACTGTTTTAGTCGCTCAATTTCACAATGTCAAATGTTTCCTGGACTTTTCACGTTTTTGTTTGTTTTATTCCTGTGCTCTTAACCCTAGTAAGTAAGTAAGTAATGTTTATTTGTTTTACTTATTACCCGTTTTATCTATGTACCTGTCTTTGTGCATACTGGGGACTTTGGCAAATGTATTCCGATGTGGTTTTATTGGAAATGACAAATAAAATGAATCTGAATCTGTAAGTCACATTGAAAGTCAAATCAACCTAAGGAGCCAGAGCGAGTTGGAGCAAAACTTTCACCATGAGCACTTATCACCTTATCTACAAACTCTACAGCTGCCATTAAAAATACTCATAGTTCAACTTCACATCTAGAATTAAACAAAACTAAACGTCTACCACATGAAGTGTTTTGATACTGCTGCATATTATACGGCTCCTCACAGCAGCAGTAGAACGCTCCATTGATTTGAATGTAATTTCAAAACGTTTTACCGGTCATTTTTTTGTGATAATGGACATTTAAATGTCAATCGGAGAATACATTATACATTTATATTCTTAATACACATGCACGGAGGTTTTCTGAAGTATCTGTTAAGGTTTTCCTGACAAAAATACTGTTTTTATGTGAGAAAAATCTATCGCGAAAAAATCCGGGATGTTTTAGTACACATTTGCAGAGGATCGAATTATGGATTTAGGTTAAGTTTATGTTTGGGTCACTCACCACTGATGTTCAGAAGTCGTTATTCAGTTTACATACAGTTCAAGAGAGTTCCAGTTTGGAAGTTGCTAGCCTAACTGTTACTAGCATAGCCACGGGAAAACCTTTGGGAACAATTTGCAGTCATTAAATAAACCTTTCGGCATTCATAAAAGTGGACTGAAGTTGTGTTTTCTGTTGGTACAAAGCCGTATAATAAGCGGGATAACGTATAGTACGCAGGTCATTGTAGTAAAATAAGTACATTCAGTATAGAATATTCATATATACATGTCCATGGAAAGTATAGTTCCCTTTTATCTATCCAAGATTTTAATACAGTAGTTCTTTTCTTGGTCTGTTAAGCATTTTGTGTGGCCATTTGTATGTGAGCTCTAACCCTCTTTACTTGTGGATTCATGGAAAGGCATTTAGCTGCACTTTTTGAGGATATTATCAAAAATATCCAAACTCATGTAATAATAGCTACTAATAATAGTTGCGAAACTAGACACTCAATTGAGTATCGAGGCTGAAGCTAAAACAGGACAACATTCTTTCCTGCGCAGTTTTAGAAGCAGCTTGCAAAAGTGCTTATCGCTGAGTTGTTTTGAATGGATGACAAAATTCAGAGGTTCATTTGGGATTTCATCAGTCTCAAGAAAATAACCATATCGTTGAAATTGATTCTAACATTGAACCCAAAGCGTAATGATAAATAAATGAATCCATCCATAAATAGATTAATAAATAAATACATTGATAGATAAATAAATACATCAAATTCATATTCAGATTAATTTTATTAGCCATGTGCAGTAGAAAAACTACATTGGAATACATTCGCAAAAAAGGTACTCTGTGTGCACCGACAGACTAAAGAGCACGATACAATGTGATATAAAATACACATACACTGAAAATAAACAGCTGACACTGTGGCACTGATCAACAAAAACAATACAAGGGGTAAAAGCAGGAATCAAAGTGCTCTGTTTAGGCACCTAACAGCTTGTGGAAAGAAGCTGTTAGCATAGCGAGATGTCCTGCATCTCAGCGACCGATATCTTCTGCCCGAGGGAAGATGCTGGAACATGGCTTTTCCAGGGTGGCCAGAAGAGTCATTGATGATTTTAAGATCACGGTTTAAAAGTCTGGATTCGTAAAGAACCTCCAGGACAGGAAGCTCACAGCCCACAGTCCTCTTTGGAGAACGGAGCACCTTGTTTAAAACTCTCCTTTCTTTATCGACAAGCTTTCTTAACAACCCGGTTAGTATTTTTGTCCCATTTCAGGTCGTAGACAGAGTTAAACCCAGGAACTTGCACTTCTTTATCAATAAACCATACATCCATAAATAAATACATACATAAAAAAAATATATATATACATAAGTACATAATAAATAAATAGCCTATCAGTCACCCAATACATTCCTTACCTTTGGTCCAGCTTTTGGTTCAATCCAATCAAAAAAAATTAAAAATAAAACATTCCCAAACGCAATTGCAAAAGATGAGATTCACACCAAACGCTTGTATGATAAAACCTTGGATAATTGAACAAGGGAAGGTTGCTCAACCATCATCTGTACTTCAGTTTCCAACGTTTTCTTCTTCATCCAATAAAAGTATAACCTAGAAATAGATTTTGGCCCCTGACCCGCTCTCATGTTCTGAACCTGGCCCCTGATCATAATGAGTGTGACACCGCTATAGTGTCTTCATGTGGATTTGGAAGCTACAATTACAGTGTGTCAGGACGTGTGGCTGTTAAGTTCTGAGTTCAACAAATATTCTACTGGCAGCTCCGCAAGAGTTTTCCACAGTATAGCATTAAACTTATCTACCTGGAAACAAGCGCGTCCAGAAATAAGATCTGTGAGGGGATCCAGGTCACATGTCTTTAAAGGTATTTTTTGTAATTTGCCAACACACACTGAAACATTCCAGTCAGTAAATAAAATAACAAGTTAAATCAGTAACCATCATGAAGTATTTTGTGCAGTGGCAATACCTGCATGTGAAAGCCAGATCCTGTAAGACCTCTGAAGACATGCAGGGCAGGGCCTGGTAGGCACTGTGATGGGAGACCTCTGGAATCACAGCGGTGGAACCTGTGTAAGACAGTTCCAGCTGTAAAGTGCTGAAGTTTTGTTGTGTCTTTAGGCTAGACACTTTACCTACAGTGCCTAGAATTAGTCTGGTATGTGTGTGAATGGTTGGGGGTGGTCGGAGGTGTACACACTGGTTGCCTTGCTTCTGTCAGTGTGCCCCAGGGCAGCTGTGGTTATACTGGTAGTTTATCACCACAGTGTATGAGTGGATGAAGGATGACATGTGAAGAGTTTTTGAGTGTATATAAAACCGATGCTTTATCATTATTATTACCATATGGAGTGAGTGACTGAAGGAACCCCTAATGACGATAATCAGAGAATAATAAAACTCAAATTTACAAGTCACATAGAGTATAAACAGGATCACTCAGGACATGCAAAAGACAGAATGCTGATCTCTGATGTTACAGTGAATGTGACAAGTTAGATACAGAGGGAAGGACATTTCTATATTGGACAGAACCATTACCAAACTTTAACCTAAACTACTAAGGATTGTGTAAGTGAAATGAGCTGTATGTGAAGTGGAATGGGCTTTAGATATGTGACGCAAGAGCACTGTATGTTTTCTTTAACCATTATGCCAATCTAAAGCAGCACATTTGACCAGACAGTGGAACTAAACTAAGTCAAAGCAAACGTTGGCTCCTGCTGCGTCTGTAAGATCAGTCTACTGTCCACACGCTCTTACATTAGTCCTGCTCTCAGGTCTCTGCACTGGCTTCCTGTGGCTCAGAAAATAGACTTTAAAGCAGTTCTCTCCATGGCCTCACACCAAAGTACATCTCCCC